CCCCAAAACCCCAAAACCCCAAAACCCCAAAACCCCAAGCTGGAGTAGGTATATTGATTATTTTATATAATGGCTGAGCGAACCCAAAGAGGTAATATTTCTAATATATTTCAACCTAAGAGCTAGAATTAATAGTTATTCATGAAATCTGACCAAATTTAGAATTCCAGATCAAGAAGACAAAGCGAGAGAGCAGAAGTAAGTCCCTCGCTGGCAGTAAGAAGATTGGTAATAATAGCTCTACGAGAAATATTATTATCGGCCCCAAAGGAGCAGAGGTATGTTGGTGAAGTCATTCATAGGGAATGAAATCAGAAAGAGCAGATTCTAAAGCTCAACCACACATTGATAGAGCCCCTACTGATGATATTAATATTGTCAGCCAAGGGATTTCTGATAAGGTAAAAGTCTGTGTCAGAGTCAGGCCTCCACTTCGAAAAGAGTTTGCATGTGAAGAAGTTGTTTCAATAGATGATAGTCAAGAACATGCATCAAAAATAACTATAATGCAAGAAATGGACAAAATTGAAAGCCATTATGACCAGGCATTCTCGAAAGAGACTAGTCAAGAGGAAATATTCGAATTTACTAGACCAGCAATCTCAGGTGTTATCGATGGTTTTAATGCCACCGTCTTTGCGTATGGTCAAACTGGATCTGGTAAGACATATACGATGTTTGGTCCGCATTGGGAGACTTCTGTTAAAAATAGTGCTATCAGCCTGAACCAATACCTCAAGCGTAACGGTGCTATTAAGCAGAGATATGATCTTTTTGATAACCAAGACAAGTATGGCATAATTCCTAGGGCGATACAGCTCATTTTCGATCGGATTTCTGAGGAGCAAGACCGTTCTGGTGATATGGAGAAGTATACTGTTTACTGCTCCTTCCTGCAAATATACAATGAAAACTTATACGATCTGCTTCAAGACGGGAAATTAAAATAATTCGTTAAATATTCGAGAAGACAAAATCACAGGTATTTATGTAGAGGGTCTAGCAGAATTTGTGGTTAATAACTCCAGAGATTGCTTCGCCTTGATGAAACGAGGAGAGAAGAACAGGATTACAAAGTCTACCAAAGCCAACATCCATAGTTCACGTTCCCATTCCATCTTCCAGCTTTGTGTTGAAACTGATAAGGTTGATAAGAGAGGGATGCTGAAGCGAGCTAAGCTGAACTTGTGAGACCTTGCTGGGTCTGAGAAGATTATTAATAAGGAAGAATCAATGACAAAGGCACATTTCAATGAACTCAGAACTATTAACCTATCGCTTACAACTTTAGGCAAGGTAATCGCTGCTCTTTCTAGCAAAGGGAAAAATACAGGCACGAAGAAGGTCAGTTTCTATAACAGGAAGATCAAGAATAGGAAATATGGTCCAAGTATACCATACAGGGAATCGAAGCTCACTCGGTTGCTTCAGGATTCTCTTGGAGGTAATACCCGGACGTGCCTGATCTGTGCTGTATCTCCTATGGAAGATAATGTAAATGAAACCATTAGCACTCTGAAATTTGCAGATAGGGCCAAACAAGTAATGGTTAAAGTTAAGGCAAATGAGCTTGATGCTGCAGATAATGCCCTTGTTCAAAAACTGCACAAAGAAGTTGTCCATCTCCGTCAAGTGCTTAATCTTCGGAAGAAAGGAAAGTTTGAAGAGATCCAGCTTCAGCTGCTGAAGCTTCAGAAGGAAAACAACAAACTGAAGACCATAGCTGAGAACCATGAAGAAGTCGAGAAATTGAAAATGGAGAACAAATATATGAGAATTGAACTACAGAAAATCAAGAATGAAGAAGGATCTCAGATCATTCAAGATGACGGAGACATTTCCTTTACTGAACTTAACTCAAACGTGCATAAGACACAGCCCCATGAACTGTCTTCTATGAGAAGTAAGAATTTGAAGGAGATAGAGAGAAGATTCGACCCTGGATCTCCCACAAAGTGACCATTATGTAACGATCTTCCTCCATGTACTCATTATAATGAAGGGTCTGACTACGAGCCCTCTCCAATGGAAAGAACTGGGAATCTCAAATCTCAAAGGCTCAGGAAGTTAGCTGCGAATAACAATGGCTCAGTGGTTCCAAACCTGGCAAGATCGAAGGAAAGTTTAATGGATGAGAGTGAGAACCCTTACAATGTCATGAACACTGACTGCAAGTTTAACACAGGAATTATAGAGACTAGGTCAGGTATTTGCCTTGAAATTATTGTTTATAGCTACTGGCAAGAAAGTTAAACTGAGAGAAGGAACCTCAAACAAAGGAGAGTCACGAAGAACACTTGGTGGAAGGAAATCCCCATTCAATAATAGGGAATACCAAGATTACGGAGACTCTAGTGATGCTCACAGAAATGTATCCCCTTCAGCTCTGATAAAGCAGGACAATAAGTTTAAATCTCAGAATACTTTTGAGAAGAACGAGAAGATTTTCTTACCTACACAGAACAGTCCTAAGGAGCATGGAGTTTCAGCAGAGGATGAAATCAAGAATCTCATGAGCAGTTCCCAATTTTCTGCAGGAAGTAGAAGCACTCCGAAGAGAGCTTATAAGACAGACGGCTCAAGTGCTGTACCAATCCGTGAGTCTAAATACAGTATATTCCCTGGCAAAATCGGGAAACCACAGGATAGAGATAGGGTTGCTTCTCGAGAATTGATCCAAGCTGCTGATAGTATAATGTCAAAGGACTTGAGCATAAGCCAGGAGAGGACATCAGGACAGTCTCCGCCGTCCCGTGTCTCTGCTTATGCACCCAAGTCCTCTGAGATGTATCCCTCAGTGTCAACTGACCACAACTCTAGCTCGACTATTATCAGGATTAGGGATAAGAGCAACTATATAGTGACTAAAAAGGGAAATATAAACCAGTCATCAAGAGACAGCTATATCGGAAGCAGCTCTACAGAGAAGAGAAAGGATATCTTGAAGGCACAAGAGAGATTGAGGAAAATTGAGATGATAGAGCAGAAGAGAATTGGAAAAGTGAAGGAAGAGATTATTAAGCTTGAGCAGGATAGGAAGAGAAAGGAAGCAGTGAGAAAGCAAAAGAGAAAGTAAGGAATTTAGATTTAGAAGTTGTTTTTTAATCGATATAGAGAGTTACTTGAAAGAAAACATAAGCTGTTAATGGACAGAAAGAGATTAGAAATGAGAAAGATAAAAAGACTTCAAGAGAAAGATCAATCACAATCTAAAATGCCAGACATCTCTCTTTCAAGTAACAGAAATATTAGTTTGCTCTAATTTTTCCAAAAGGACCTCAAATTCGTTGCAATTTTCCTCGAAGCCATCGGGGTTTTGGGGTTTTGGGGTTTTGGGGTTTTGGGG